ACCGAGCGCCCAGGGTCCCCGTGAGGGCCGCGGCGGGCGCGGCGGGGCTCCGCGAGGGCCGCGGCTCCCCCTGCGCGAGCGGCGGGCGCGGAGAGGGAGGCGCCGTGAGGCAATGGCGGCCGCGCTACCGCACTGCCTCGAAGAGCGGCACCCCCGAAACGCGCCGCCGCCGACGCCGGGGCGGGGCTGCCGGCTCCTGGCCGCCCGCCTTGCGGGGGGATCCCCGCACGTCCTGCTCGGGAAGGGCGCGGGATGCTCAGGGTGGTGGTCACATCCCTGGGCATTTACCTAGGTCCATCCTCATCACCAACAGCATCCCTAGTCTTGGGGGTTACATCTAACACCGTCTAAAACACACTGTGTTTTTTAAAGAAAATAAACCAGTGAAGGCAGCTCTGCACTGGTGTGTAAACCAGTGAAGGAACTGGAGAACAGTATTAGACCCTTAAACCCACATTATGGCCCCGTTAACTGATGATCTGTCACCAGAGGAGCCGCTGCCTTTACCTCAATGTCCGAGTACTTCAGTCCCATGGAGAACTGTGGTGTCTCCACATAGTTTTCCCCCACACACTGCTCCCCCTTGTCTCCATGATGGGAAGTGGGGGCAAAGCCTGTCTAAACGTCATGGTGGTTCTGCCCTGAGCGCTACTTTGGGGTGGTTTTTAGGGGATATGAAGAGCAGAGGGAGTGCAAGGCCTGGGGTTACTAAGGCACCGGCTGGGTGCCATCCCGCCTCCCAAGGGCACCACGGTGCCCAGCCGGTGCCTTAGTGACCCCAGGAAAAGCCATGGCTTTCCTGGAGCAACTGGGGGCCGCTCCCCCACAGGATCCCACATTGGATCCCACCCGCAAGGTAGCACTTTCATCTCCAGACACGTGCGACCAGAGCATGAGCTGCATGATGAGGCAGCCACACTGTTAATTAGCAGCAGCTGGGGAGGAGGGAGAAAACGAGATCCTGGGAGAGCGTCTTTCTGCCGGCGCCCTGCCAGCGTGCGCCCTGGACCACCACAACCCACACTGTGGGGTGCAGGCCTCACACTGGTGTGAGGCAGGCAGTCACAACGGAGCTGGCTAACACACAGCAAGCGATTTATTAACTGGGGTCCAAAGAAAATTAGGCATGTCTAGGCGCTATGACGCCCAGACAGACGACAGTGTTGACAGGGAAGCACATACACAAAGTGCTAGCTGGTGCATGCCGCTGTAAAACCCGGCAACAGAGGGCAGGCACTAATGTTGATTATTTAGATGCTGCCCACAGTTTGTCAGGGCGATGCAGATAAGCAGAAAGCCACGGGCTCCGTGGCATGCTCAGGAGCTGACAGCCCCGCTGACAGCAGGCACTGGGAGGGTAATTTAGGGCTCCTCTGCTCCCAGGTGACAGCTCTACAAGCCTCCGAAAGCAGAGGCACAGGGAAAGCACAGACTGGCATGGCGCCAGGAGACACTTGGGCTGCTGCTGTCCCTCCCTGGCTTTTGGCTGGGCTCGGATACCCTTCATCGTGGCAGGCTTTAGTAGCAGACTGGCAGCCAAGGACAGCCTCTGTCCCTGGGAAACGGGTCTGACCCCCCCCACTCCAAACTCTAACCTGCCTACAGTGAGCAGTGGTGTCTAGGACCCCAAGGTAGCTCCAAGCACGCTGGCCAGACCTCCCACAGAGGGGCAACTGTCCCCGAAGTGTCACGTTGTGTTCAAATCAGAGGCAGTAAGGCAGACACATGCCTTGCAGATAGAGTCAAGTCTGAGTGATGCTGGCTTTATATTAGTGGTCATATTAATTCAGAAACACATTACCTAAACATCTCTCCTAAACTTCCTACAAGTGTTTAAGCTGTTTCTGGAGCCAACAAAGAGAAGCAGGGACATCTCAAGAGCAATATGCCCTCTGCTAGGTCTATTACAGCTGTAGCTATTCGCATCTTCCCAGGAAGAGGAACAGGATCTGCTTAGAGCAAATAACAGCCATTACACTCAGGATAAATTAGTAATGGTGAGTGGGAGAGCTAGGAGGAAAGGAAAAGAGGTTATTGCCATTCCTCTTCCTACAGAGTGGGTGTCTGAGCTACTGACATTGCCAGAAAGCAGGGCCTTGATTTCCTTCTGAGACCAGAGCTCAGACTGCTCCTTCAGAGCTCAAGAGCTTGTGACTGTTAACCAGGAGCAGGATGGCACTATGGGCTGCTAGACCGATTCCTACTGGTTTGACTGGTTCCTACTGGTGGCATCTTCAGTTTAGTGGCAATACAGACAGGTCTGTACAGTGAGTGAAGGCAAGATGTACTCAGTCTCAGTGAATACAAGCTTTTTTTTTTTAATCAGAAGCTGCAGTGCCTGTTGAGGACTAACTGGAAGGTCTGGGGGGTTTGCCGGGGGGTAGGGCTCTATGGCTTTGTGTTGCTGTATATTTTCCATTTTGTAAAATAGAGGATGCCAAGTAATTTGCTAAATCCTAATTGCAGCCTTGCCAAAAATAAATAAATAAATAAATAAATAAATAATCTGAAAATAGGCCAGCAGAAGCATCTTCACAGCCAGATGACGTTAAAGGAGGGCTGGTCTATCTGCCTCCAGCACACACTAGAGGCCAGATTGCCACAGCCCAGAGACAAGCCCTGCCATGTTATGAGCTTACCGCTTCACAAGAAGCCTCTGCCTACTCAGGAAGCACCTATTCCTGTCGCAGCCTGCAAGGAAGGCTGTTTGCCATGCGCCGGGAAGGGGCTCCTGCTGCAGGCGCTTTCCCGCCAGCTGGCAGCACCCACCTGGCAGCAGCTTCAGGGCAAGCTCCCCGGCGTCCAGCGAGGTGCACAGCCCCTGCTCCGGGGCCAGCAGGACACTAGGGCACCTGCGGGATGCAAAGCAGCACGTTGAGAAAAAAGGTATTAGGCGACGAAAGATGCTGAAGTACTAAACAGCCAAATAAAACCAACCAACTAAAGGCTGAGTACACACACTCTTAGTTATCAGGAACCAAAGTGTGTTTGTTTATTCAGTTTTATTCATACGCTGGTTTATTCGATACATTTGTTCCAATTAATTTAGCAAGCCTGCAAAAATACAGCAATTTTATTTCATTAAACTGTGATAATACATGGATTTATTTAGCTAGCAGTTCTAGTACTTTTCTCCCTGAATCTCTACAGTACTTTTTTTTTTTTTTCACTTTCAGTGTTGCTGAAGGATAGAGCTGAGCAAATACTTAGTAATGGATAATTAATTCAGCCACTTCTTTTCCTGTTGCCTCTGAGACATCCACTGGATGTTGTTCAAGGGTCAGCAATCCTTTCTTTGGTCACACTTCTAAACTATTTTTGACGGTTTCAGACAGTTGCAGTGTGAGCAATTCGGAATGCACATAGACCACATACTATAAACACCCAAATTGCCCCCAGGGCTGCTTTGGTGCTGGCAGGGATCACATCTCTGCCCGGGGAGCTGCCGCTGGCATCAGGGCCACACGCAGCTCCCACGGGCTTCCCTGCTTGTGCCACGCTCATGCCGGGCACCCGATATCCATGAGCTGCTCCAGCTCTCCTCATGGCATTAAAGTGCCTTTTTTTTTTTTTCTCATAAAGTGCTTTTACATATTAAGTCACACATATGACATCTCAAGTTTTATCACCTCAAATACAACTCCATTACAAATGCGACTGTGGTTTGGCAGTGTAATCTTTTACTCTGATAAACTATTAAATGCCAGAGAAAGCTTCTTAAGTTAATCAGGGTTTAATTTAAGTAAACAAGCCGCTGAAAGATTAACCAAAATCCTCAACAGAATCTGAATGCAGGAATACTCTGTTCACAAAGCCTCAGGCCGAATCCACACAACTAAATACTTGAGGAAGAAACTGGCCTGCTGGCACCCTCTCTTTATTTGCACCTCTAACTAAAGAGGAGGTTAGTTTTCTGAAACTCTAACACAGACATTTCCAGCTCCACTGACAGCAACAGCAGCTTTGGCAAAAGCTTGATGCTAAAGCGGCATGTGAGGAGGAGCAGGCAGGTAACTCCAGGTTTGCCAGGAGGAGGAACCGAGCAGAACCCTCCCAGGGTGAGATCCGTCCAACCCTGCAGAGCCTCCTCACCCGTCATGGGCCGCGGCTGACGCCCCTGGACTGGGGAGCACCCGGCGGGCTGGGGGCGCTTGGGGCGAGAGCAGCCGTCCTGCCGGCAGCCTCGTTACAGCAACCGCCCTCCCCGATGAGCAGGGCTCCCCGTCGGAGGTAAGTTACTTGTATGGATAAATACACACATGTTCAGCATCTAAAAGGGTAAAGCTAGCTAAAAACTCTCACCTTAGGCCCAGTGTTGCTTTTGATCCCCATCTGCAATATTATCCCACAGGGGTAATAAATGACCAAACCTTGGTGACTAAAACATCCCAGACTGGAGCCAATACAAAGCATCTTTGGGTTGACAAGCTATACACGTCTTGTAATAGGTTAGTCATTATTTAACTCTGGTGTTCCACAGACAGTTCTCCAGGTGCTTGTAGCACTAGAACGGGTACATATTCAAGAATAATCTTTTTTTTTTCCATCACAAAAATATCTTCTTTATTTCCCCCCTACAAAAGCTGTCGATTATCTTCCAAACTTCTTCATTCAAAAAAAAAGTCTTGTTACGTTTATCATACATGTTTTCATTCGTTTTACAACCGTCTTTGCTAAGCTGAAGATTTACGCTGCATTTTGGTTAAAAAATAAAATCAATACATTAAAGAAGAATATCAAAATATTCACAGAACCAAAATCTAAGCTAAGATAGCTACAAAAAATATTTCTCCACAATATTTCACATACCCTTGAGAAAAAAAAAATCATTTTGACACGACAACATCTAACACCTCTCCTGCTTGCTTTTTTGTTACTCAGAACAAGCTAAAGATAGGTTTAAGAAGACAGGCGGATGACTAAGGGAAAACATTCTATTTAATCACAATATGTACATTTAAAGAAGAAATTACAGAGCTACATTTCATAACGCAACTCTGTCACTAATAACGTGTCAGAGGCAAAATTCTTGCAAGCTACTGCCAAAAAAGATAATTCCAACTGACCAGCACAGAGTGAAGAGAAGACCAGAGGGGCAATGAGATCCGTGAGGGACAGGAGAAGCCCAGTCCTTGCAGCTCTGTCAGCTCCACTTTGCATAATTCACTCCCTGCTACCTCTGCCACGATCTCCTGGGTTCTCACATAGCTGAGACCTTCCCTTCCTGATCCACTGTGCCAGGCTAACATGAGACTGTTTCCTACATCATTTTTTTTCATAGTGAAATGTTTTGCACACAAGACATTTCAGAGGTGCTGTTTGGCACATCAGTAATGTAACCATACTTTACATTTGGACAAGTGTGTTAGTTTATATTGCACTGAAACTGTCCTTTAATTGAGGAACTTGCCTGAGGTCACTGAGGAACTCTGTGGAAAAGCTAGGAAAACAGCCCTTAGCTGCAAAATCCCACTAGCTAAAGGACCACAACTTCTCTCTTTCACAGAAGAGCAGAAAGGAATTAATACATTGAATTTCTCATTGTTATCCTCCTCAGATTGCTTCATTTTCTGCTTCAAATAGTCCTTTCTTTCTTTAGCTTCACCTGGATCTCAATTTTCCTCACATTACAGATGCATTATCCCCAGTGACAAACGGAAAGCTTCCATTCTCAGACAGTGCTGGCTGGTGACTTGAAGCAATCCTACATCAAGTACAAACTGTACCACTTGCAGGGAAGTATGAATAATACCATGCTGCAGCTTTAGTACAACTACATCTCTGCACAGGAAAAAAAAAATGGCAAATGAAACAGTAAAAAAATAAAAATATCTATACCTGCTCTTCCCTGCTAGCATTCCCAGAGCTTAATGGAATTCAAAGATACTGATTATAAAGGATAAAACAAAAAGGCAAACAAAGTTCCTCCTTGATCAAAATCAAGCATAGTGTCAGTCTAGTATCAACAGGTCCTCTGTTGGCAAATCAGTACTTAACAGGTCCAAAGGGCTGTCCATCAGTTGCCTAATTAACCTGACACTTGTTTGGCTCACAGACGGTCTCCATCACCTCTGTGCAAGCAGTTAATTCTAGCCAACACATTTAGCCTTTCCGGAGCACAGATGGGGGTTATTTCAGCTTTTTCCTCCCTGCCAACGAGCGCAGTGGCAGCAATCCATCAATCCATTCATTGGCAGCTGACATCATCTCCTGCCAAAAGGCCACCTCCTCTTGCGTGGAGTCCATCCAGTCCACGGAGATGCCATAGCTCAGACCTTAGGAAGAATAAGGAGACAGTAGTGTTGGGAGCAGCACATGCGGTTTTTACTTTTTATGCAAACATACTCAAAGGGATGTGACTGCTGCAGGTAGGGCCATAGCCCAAAAGGTGCTGAGTGCTGCTCAGCAAGGTGCACCTTTCTGCTCCTGTGTTCTTCTGCTAAGGACCTGCACTATATACGAGAGCTCAGAATGAAGTCAGTGGAAAAGCCCCCAATCACTAGATTTTTAAATGTAGTCTGCGAGGAGAAGTAGCGTTGGGCTGAAGCTCTGCCTTGCTTCTTCTAAAGTGCTATAAAGCTTGCCTTTCCCCTTAAGAGATTTTGTTGTGGACAGAGAGGGAGTTCTGTCAAAATGATCTTGTTCTACATTTCATTTATTTAGGAATCAAACATCTGACATTGTAAAAGTGTGCATATTTAATTCCAATTTGATTATTCAACCACTTCTTTTCATGGGCCTATTACTTGTCAACTACATAAATGTCTAAATTTGATTCATAGCTATCTTGGGGTTGGTATTTTTATATCTGCCTCATAAGCTTATTCCTGTTGTGACTTCACATTGGATAGTTCACAACACTCCTGGTGACAGCTAGAGACTGAAAACAGAGAACATAAAAGCAAAGCCAATAAACTTCAGTTCGCCTGCAAGGGAGACCTTCCAGCTACTACAGGCCTTTCCCACATACCCTCAAGGGACAGTTATCCTTTTTCTCAGTAAACTCTTCAAGCTAAGCACAGGCCTAAGTCCTCCTCTGAACTGCAATTTCAAGCTATAAACTCCAGGAGACAGAGACTATCTCCCAATGAAGCAAATGGCACCTCAGCCAAGGTCTTTCAACACCAAAAAACGTCTTTTTTTCAATTTGTGCTTTACTTGCATTTTCTGTAGTCTCAGTGTTGTGCCTCTACCAGATCAAATATCCAGCCCTGTTATCCACATAGTAGTTAGTTAGCCCTATTAAAGCCATTTAAGTGAGGAGGTGACATGAACAGAGTCACCAGGTGGTGCTGTTCATTTTCCTCTGTGAACACTCTTCATTCATAGAAGTAGTAATACAATAATGAGTAAGACGGCCTCTTTGGGAAGGGTAACAGCCATAAAGCACTCTGCCATCAGCTTCTGGACCCAAGGCTTAAATTCTTGAGTTTTGCCAGATCTGGGAGTTGATACTGGCTGAAATTGCTGGAACAGAGTGTTGCCATCACACTACTGGGTCTGCTTCATCCCAGACCAATATGCATGGTGGAAGTAACAAGACCAACAAAAAGTATTGAGACTTTCCATGCACTGCAGATGCTCTGAAACGTACCATTATATCACGTGGCTCATCAATACGGTACCAGCATTCATTTAAAATATAAAGAAAATTGTTTACCTGTCCCAAGGCCCAACCTGATTCCTCCAAGGAAATGGTTGGTTAGTTTTTCATGATCCCACACAGTCAGTTCAACACAAGCATCCTTCAGATCCTCTGTGTGAAATCCGTCATACACAATAGTATGATTGAAAACAGGGTTTGTGTCTCTTTTTATAACTCGGGTCTTCTGGTAACTCTTCTTACTGGTGTCTGGAAGCACGTAGCTTTAAGAAGAGAAAATAACAGAGCATGTAGTACAAAATATCACTGTTTGAATTGTTCCTACAAAATTCTAAACATGGGTCTAAACCTGTTTCAGTTGGAAAATAAGGAAGTAGGTCTCAAAACACAGTAAGTCTCTGTAGATTTAATAGGAAATGTTCAAAATCCTTGACTTTTTTTTTTTTTTTTTTTTGCAAGGATCATCCATTTTTTAAGCAAATGTTTTCAGGAAAAAAAAAAAAGGTACAAGCTCTTGAATTTTCTGGAATATTTGCAGCATATTCACCCAGGCAGAACTTCTCTCTTGGGCTGCAGAGAGCATCCACACACTGAATGCTGGAAAAGACCAAAGCTGGCTCTAACTGCCTATATATCCGTCCCAGTGAATCCCTAACACACTCCCAAACTTTGCACACAAGTCTGTATCACAGTAACATGCACAATTTCACATGAGCACACTGGGCTGAGGCACAGTGCCTCCACATTTCTTCCAGTAAGAGATTATTGAGACAAAATCACTTAGTGAGGAATAGACATCAGTGGACCAAGAGCTTTATCACAGCAACTATTTTCCTACCTCAGGCCCAAGTGAATAGTAAGTGCAATTTTCCATCCCTACAGAACACAAGGCAACATGTAGGCTTTACAGTATGGAAGTACTGCTAAGTGAGCCCGAGAAAAGAAAAACAAATTCACTGCTTTTTACATCCAACCTCTCCCTGGAGATGCAGATCCAACATCAAGCCCAGCCCTTGCTCATGCACTTACCATTTCACAAAGGCGTCAACTCCAGAAGGACGCAATTGCAGCAGGTCCTTGACATCTTTGACCCAAATGTGAACTTCGCCAGAGGGGGGATTCTTGGGACCTGCCATTTAGAAGAGACAAACTCTAATGATAGGGCTTAAAGTTGCTAGCAAGAAGATAGGCTTCCTCCCCAGAGCTCTGAGGGGACAGAAACGTGACCTCTTTGTGTATTCACTTCCTTGGGAGCTCTGCACTCCTCTCCCTGGCTCCCATATCGTTACTGCCCTCCACTCTTGCAGCTACAGAGGCCAGTGCTGCTCTGAAGCAGCAAAGGAGAGGAACTGCTGAGCAAACTCAAGCTCAGGCCTGCCCCATGATAAGAGGGGCTGCATGTTGCTGCCCTCACATCACAGCAATGCCTATGGTGATCGTAATAGCTGCTGAGGTTCAAGCTGTTGAACCCTTCCTCTTTTCCCCCAGTCTCCCCAAAAATCCAGTTCTGCAGATCATATACAGTCTGCAGATGGTGCTATCGAACACCAGTGGTTGTGCCACTTCACTGATCTCAAAGCTCTTGCTCTAAGAAGATTAGTCTTTAGCCAGCTGTTAGAGAGAAGGGGCATTGCAAGCTGCATGCCTATGAACAGGCTATACTTCTTCTTCATGTATGAAATATATTTTACCTAGACTTCCTGGTGGGACATACTTAATAGACAAATTCATCACTCCTCGATGATCCGCACCATTAATGGCAGAAAGACTCTGAAACAGAAACAGTTATGACTGACTAAACAAGAGCTTGTGTCAACACCATAGGGCAAGTAGTTTTTGAGTATTTAGGGGCACAAACAGATAAGCTCTGATCTTGCATGGCTGAGACAGCCCATTCTCAGGGCACCTTACTTTGTGGTTTTGTTTTCAACCTCAGTCCCTCAGAACCAAAAGCCTAGGATTCAGAGCAAGACTGCCCTTCCAGAGAGGTTCAGCTAAAAGCCAAATGTCCTTCATTTTCTGAAAAGGTATCTCAGATCAGACCTCAGAACCCAGAAGCATGCAAGGTGCTGTAAAAGCTTTATGAAACCTGACACCTGAATATTTACCTCTCAAGTCATGTCCAATTGCATCACCTAGTACTCTACTGTCTGTTTTTTAAGGAATATTCTTTGAGAGACTAGAGAGAGGCAGAGTCATGTCAGTGTTTCTGTTGATTAGTGTCAGATCACATTTATGATTCTGATTATCCCCAGACAGCAGTCACAAAATGAGACCCAAGGTCTGTGTTCAGAGCACTGCAAATATTGCACTAGCACGATGAGGGCTTGAGGGGTGTTTTACTCCCCTGGGTGTAATTCAGACTGTTTGAGCCCACCTCAGGGATCTCAGAGGAGTCCTCCCTTCATGCAGGGAATTCACTGCCATGGTGCACTGCAAAGCAGCTGTCTATAGGGCTTTCTCCTAGGGAGAGTTGGGGCTCAGCATGACAAGCCCTGAGCTAACATGGCACTGTCCAAGTAGCCAGGGCTCTTGGGCTACGGCTCTTGGTTGGGCTGCGAAGCAGGACTGCAGCAGTTGCACTTACCCGAGGCTTCAGCATGTACCAGTTGAGTTTCCTGTTGCTCCAGTCCCAGCTGGCCAAGTCTACTTCGATCTCTCCCAAGAAACTGTTACGTCCCAGAGGGTCGTTGTGCCAAACAGAGAGATTTAACTTTTGGATCAGCAATACCATTTTCTCTATTTTATACTAGAGCAAGAAAGAGAAGCCAGGTTGTTCAAACATGTATGTTTTTAGGTTCAGAACTCAAATTTTCAATAATTGCCTCCAGAATTGGAAATAAACTATCAAAAGCTTGAGTTAGCTGTGACCGACAGAGTCACAAGCTCCTTCCAGTGCTCTTAGGGACCTGGCCCTACTCTGAACATTTCTTAAGTGCTGCACCGTCCACACTCGCACTCCCCCCACCCCCAATAAAGCTCTTCTGCTGAGCACAGGGAAATCTAGTGCTCTTTTCTTCTTAAGATTTTTAGGGATTTTCTTTTATTTGCCTTCTGCTTCTGAGCCTTTAGCACCTATATACTCACATTCAGAGCTGTGAGATCAGAGGACTATCACGTGAGCTTATGGAAAGTCTTGTTATTAGAAGCACTGGCAAAAATCAGTCTCCTCTTTTTAATACATAGCAAGGTAACTCTTGCCTGATTTGGTTTGTTTTCACACTCCAGTTCTTACAAAAAGATTGAAAACATCAGTCAAGCTAGCAAGTATGAATTACTGATTTTCCAATAGTTCAGAAGCTATTAAGAAGTCATATTTCTCTCTGGCTCTTTTCTTCTTAGGATTCTGCAATTTGCCACAATCTCTGGTTTGTGACAGACAGCCAAAGACAGCCCAAATCTACTTTTTGACCATTCCCTTCCATTGGTGCTTCAAGCTTCTTCCAGAAAGGAGTCCCTGGTTACACACCACCCTGAGCACAGTGTAGTGGACAAGTCAGTACAACAGTACAGACTTAAATCCACCTTCCACCCAGCCAAATGCACCATCTCTGCACTCCCTTAACTTATTTCCAGTTCTCCCCACACTGATGAATGTGTTCAACAGTAAGCAATAGGCCTATCTTCCTCCGATGGAGAGTGAGATTTAGCTGTGGCCACTGATCAGGTGCATAGCAAGCAGGAGGCACTGGGGAGCTGCACAGGCCCAGCTCTTCCTTGCTGTCTAGAAAACGTCACTCTTTCTCCTACCAGCAGCATCACAACCCCGAAGCTGTACTGCAGCATTAGCAGGAGGCAAGTGAAGGAGCCCTGCCAAAAAGATAGGCACTTGCCCAAACTGGTCTGGTGCCTACTGCCACACAGGTTGTTTTTCTGGCATGTATTTGTACTTACCCTTAACACCTCATTGTAAATTGGATTCACTGTTCTCTTCTTCACAGAGGTTTTCCTCTTTCCCATTCTAGCTTTGTCTGGGAGCAGATAAGTTTTGACATACCTGTAAAACAACACAAACTCCATCTGGGTACTCTTCAGTATCACCATGCTCTAATAAGCAAGGGAGATTTTGGAATGGTGACACGGAATGGTGACAATTGGATTGTGACATGGAATTTACGGGGACCTGGAGTTGACACTCCAGCACCAACACTAACTAAGGCTGTTAAACTGGTGTGCATGTGAACATGTAAATCTCATTGGAGATGCATGGATTTCACCAATATTCAGAACAGGCAGCTCTCCAGCTAATCTGCAAAGCAGCTAGGCTTTAAAAATGCAAGGATTTAAATATGGCCATATATCTATTTCTGAAATATTCATAATACAGCATCTCTCTGCCTTCAAAATTAGGGTGAAGTAAGAGGAGAAGGAGACAAACATTTCAAGGAATCTTATAATAAGTCTCCTTTTTTCAAGATTCAAATTTGAGCTCCTCTTGATTACCAAACTGGAGATTGCCAACCTCTGTATAACTGCCAGTGTGTCACCTACTGGCACTTCCAAGGCTTTTCTTCTGCATGGACATGGGTCTGGATCCCCAGCGGTGTTACTGAAATGCTTTTGCCACAGGAAGACCAAGGTTCACATGAATGAAGAAAGAACATTCTTGTAGTGATCAAAGCTTTCTCAGTTGTATTTAGATTTTAATCTGCAGCAACATTTTTACTGATGCCAATGGCATCAGATGGAAAAGTCCCTCCAGCAAGCTGGGGGAAACATCAGCAATCTGAGGCAGGGTGGAAACTGTGAATGCCGAAATACAAGATGAAAAAATACTCCAAGAACATAAAATTCTGTGGTTTACAAGTCACAAGGTATCCAAGGGAGGTGTCACTTACGGATCAGATCTGCCTTTCTTCTCATCCACAACAGCTAGGTCCTTGCACTGGGAGACATGAATCTGGAACTCCCGGTTCTTCTCATCGTAGTCTAGAGCAAACTCAACAGTACCCTGGGCATCCACACTCCCAAAATCGCCGCTGTACACGCTGAGCACGCTGCCACTCACCTGCCGTGGGGAACAGCAAGGTTAGCGCTACTGAAACAGGCAGCCTCCTGGCTTAGTTTCTGGACCAAGACGTTGGTCTGAAGAGTGCATTCCCAGAAAAACAGCCTGCAAACTCTGTTCTTTAGTAGCATTGTGCTCTTGGCACAGTAATGGTCAGCATCTGCAGCTGCACTCATGTGAGCAAGGGTTGGGGGACAAGGATTTACAAGAATGAAAACAAGATATGCAGACGGATTGCATAGGGATGTGCTATCCTAAACCAGGTTTAGGAAGCGGTGCCTGTTCTCCTGAATGCTTGACCAACACATAAGATTTGCATCCAAATAACCCAAAGTACTAGACAACCGAGTCAAATAAAATGGGTGGGACCACACAAGTCATTTCATTGAGAGAACTTGAACTATCTTTACACAAACTACTTAATTCTGGTGGATACAGTTTCCTAATTGACATTCAGTTTTTAAATTAGGCTAATAAAAACATTAGAAATACATGAAAATCTAACTCTTACTATCCTGTTGCTTGCTCACAATGCGCACAAAGCTGTACAAAGCAGAATACAGTCCCTGTTCTAAACAGCCAGTCTGCCACCAGATACAATTGCCTCTGAGTGCCTGCTAACCACAGATGTAGGTAAAAACGAGGTGTCTGCAGGTAGTAAACATGAATTAAACACACAAGAGTCACTGCTTTCCCTGAACAATATTTGCCCATAGGCACTGGGTTTCTCTTTAAAGTATTAAGTCCTTCACTGGTAGAAAGTGATGAAGCAGAAAAAATATACAGGTTCAGAACGACAAGAAAATTTTCCATTGCACCAATCATTCATCATTCTTGATGGGCCAACATAAAAGGCTTACCTTTTGCAAAGCAAATAATTAACCCTCTTGGCATGTTTCCATGATACAGTCAGGCTCATTCTATCAGAAAACTTCTCTGGTAATTAATCTAATTCTTCTCTGTCTTCCCTACTTCCTTTAGTTCTTAATTTTATTCTATTTTAACCTACAAGAACCTGCTAAATATCTCCTTTCAGTCCCTGGACTTATATTTACCACCCCCTTAAGATATTCACCCCAACAGAGAATCTTGTATGAGACATTCAGCAACATGTAACTATGGACACAAAAGGCTTATTTAATGCTCCACACTCTCTAGACATAACAGAAGGAATCATATGCCCCAAAGTTCATCTGATTTTTTTTCGAGAGGAGGTGTTGTTTGTTGATTGGTTGGTCTTTATACATCTTCAAGAAAAACACACTTTTTAAGCAGTCCCCTGCAAAACACTATTCCTAGCAACCCTTTCAAAATGCCTAACTAAATATACTCAGTTCTTTTAACTTCAGATCACAAATCACTTGTGTTTGGAACTTGTGTTCCAAATCACAAGTTTGCTGTTCATCTAAGCTTTTGCATCAAATTCCTTCTAACAGAGGGCACCAGTCTGCAGTCCTAGCTCTGTTGGAGCTGGGGCACAAACCAGTCACTTTATAGCCATTTCCTCACCTAGAAAATGGGACTCCTGTATACTGCCAGACCTCAGATTTGCCACAGTTTGCAGGAGGGGCTATCACTCACCCTCACTTTGTCTAGCACTGGCCCCAGTGCGGCTCTGATTTGGGATGGTACCCTGAGACACTACTTCAACACAAAGCAGCAAGTAATCACCATCATTCTTTTAATAATGTACCCTGCAGAAATCAACAGGGTAGTTTGGAGACTAAATCATCTGTATCAGCTTCAGTGCAGCACCACTACATCCAACAGCAAAAGAAACCCTTTCCAGTGAGATGTACACGTTAGGTACCTACCGAGGAGACAGATGCCATGTCGGAGGAGTGGCTGCCAATGCTTGGCGTCTTTTTGTGCTTGTTAAACTGGAAGCTGATTTCTGAAGCCGTGTCTGATTCAGTCTGCTCAGAAAACAACAAGCACCTTAAAAGCTCTGCAGTACGAGCACTTTGAAGCACTGCAGAGTGAAAACAACAGCTCAGCAGAGCCCCATTAAACAGCAAGCAGGTTAGGAGAGCGGAGGAGAGTGCAGGGAGCCTCCCTTGAGACAGTGCCTCTGACCGGCAGAGCAAACGTCATCATTAACTGACTCCAAGCAGACCTGAATGCAGCCTCCTGAATGCCTCTTGTGAAGGGCATGTAATGGTGTGGCTAGAGGCAGAGGGAAACACTAAAATTGTTACATGATGGAAATGTCGGCCTGGGTTATTGAGCTGTTTTTCTTTTTCTTTTTTTTTTTCTTCTTCAGTTATTACATAAAAGAGGCACACTGTGGAGCAAGTGCCATTGGTGTCTACAGGAAATATTTTCTTGTAGCTGACTGGCATTTAGGCAATGCTGTGATTATTATTTCAGCAAATTATGATTTCAATCCTACCTCAGACAGCAGGAGAGGAGAGGATCTGCTCAGCTCTTTCACTCTTTCAGGTTCAAGAAACTGATGGGGTATCAAATGAGGTTTATTGTACGCTGTAGGCACAAACAAAAAAAAAAAAAGCAACAAGATATTTTGTCAGAAAGGATAAAATATAAGCAAATCTCATTCTTGCTTAAGAGCACAAAGAAGGAAAAACAGGAGCAAAAGAAGGAAAAACGGCTTGTTGAAGGCACCAGAGTACAGAGCACTTGCCTCATTGGCCTCTGAAGTTCAACCTTTCCCAGGAGAAGAACTGCTAGCTAAAATGTTAAAGCTATTTTCAAAATGTTTCCATGCAGTGTGTGGGAATGTACATTCTCCCTCTAGTGGCTAATTTAATATGTCTATTATAGAGATGGAATTTGTTTGAACCCTTTTATCTATGTAGATTTAATTCAGAATGAAAACATACAGCTCTGCCTGCCTGTCAAAGAAACCAAACGTGCTGACATTTTCATTTCATCGCTTCTTTATAATATTATCCATACAAAAGAGCTACGAAATACTTTTATCTACAATGTCAGCATTGCATACACATCCCAGATATTTTGCCAGTCAGATAAAGAGCTGGGCAAGAGAATGCTGAAGAGAAAATAAAGTCTGAAAGATTCAGGAATGTGTCAGATTAGAAAGAAGGCTGCTGGAGTGCTTAAATGGCTAACTAAGACCTGTTTGTTCCATCTCTAACCTTCTTCATTGACCACCCTCATTCCAAAATAACTGTTTTGTTTTCAGATGATGTATGTGGAAAAATACCCATTTACATATACACACCTGCTTAACATGTTAGCCAGGCTGATGGAGCATTCAATACTCAAGATGCCCAAAGCTTCCTTGATAGTAAAGATGTCTATTCAGTATTTGTATTTCTAAACCTGAGCAAAATTATTAAATTTGCACTCTCTGCAGATTATATGTTAAGCTGTGAACAAGTAAGCACGGTGCAGTAGAGGTGAGTTTTCTACGGTGAAGTTTAGCATCCTAAATAAGCCTTAATAAAGAGAGCATAAAATCCTGATTGTCTGTGGAGAGATGGAGGCACCGAACTGCTGCCTTTTCCAGGCCCTCTCCCTTACTGCTGCTTCCTTGGGCTGCTCAGTGGTGTAGACAGGTTTTCTGGCCACCAGCTTCTTGAGATTTGCTGCTGCTTTCTTGTTTGCCTTCCGCTTAACCTCTCCTGGTTTCTGGCATGCGTGGTGGACCTGCTGAGCAGGCTGCCACATGGTCTGGTCCAAGTGTACCAGCAGGGAAGAGGAGAGACAGGGACAAGCTTTTTGCCCAGTGTTTGAAGCCCTCCTGCTTGCTCTGGCACACACTGTGTAACATACCATCTATCTAGCTGCAATTTCCTGGCTCTGAATTTAATTTCAGGCACGATAATTTGATGATGAAACAATATGCCATCTTCCTTGCCTGGTGCAAGCACAGATGCACCCAGGATACAGAACTTGGACATAATATATTACCTCCAGGGAATATAAATCAAAAAGCAGAAAGAAAGATGTTACTCACTCTCTGTGGTTGTGTAAATGTTCACCATACTCTTCGCAAGATTAATGTTGTTTGCTCGGGCCAATGCCTGAGCAGCGGGAGAACGATCTCCAACTTCCTCTGCAATATAGGAAAATCCAAATCAACATGGTAAATAAGCACGAACAGGCGGTGCATCAACAAGTGTGTGGTTGTCTGTATTTGTGTGTAAGTGTGCTGTGCTCTGCTTGCAAAACATCACAGTTACATTACACAGGGCTGCTTTCAAATCGTCTCTTTCATGCCTCTCCTCACAAAAAGCTCTTCATTCTGTGGTGGAAAATGCAATCAGTAAATTAACCCAGCCTCCAAAACAGACCAGCACCTGCACTGATTTTCCAATGCAACACAGCCACTTGTTAATGTCATCGTGAAATGAATATATATATATAATATATAAGTATATATATATATAATATATATATAGTATAAATAATGCAAGAAAATGAAGAAACATAATAATGATCTAGTTTCTAAAGGAAATGCTTGTGTTTGTCTTCCCTGTTAGACTTCCCTGTTAGTGAAGTAATACGAGTTCAAATGAGCTGCTGCAAGTAAGGCTAAGGAAAGAGAGAGCTGTCCCAAGCTGAGGAGCTGCCAGGTGAGGGACCAGGGCCACCAGGAAGCAGGGAGGAAGGTAAAGGAACTGGATAGCACTGTGCTCATTGACACTTGCACTGAGCTAAGCAGAAGGCTTTATTTCCAGAACTGTTTGCTAAACACATTCCACACATACTAACTTTGCTCAAAAAAAACACAGAAATGGAGAAAATGTGCAAAATGCAGAAGGGAGAGGGAGGAAAAAAGACTTAGGGAAGACAATCACTGGGATTTCACAGGGTATAGTTAAAGCCCTTGTTACCTGAGTAAACAGTTGAGTCCATTCCCTGCACAACTTCTCTCTTTCCAGCTGGTTCACTGGGCGTTGGGTTGTCTGGAGACTCGCACATTTTTTCCTCAGGTACCTCTCCATTTATTTCCATGATGTTTTGAGTACCCAAATCAGATCTTCGCTCCTTCTGATCATCTTTCTCGTCATCTGCAAGCGTGGGCTCTATCAGTATCTGCACCCTGCTCCCCAGCGAATCCACTTGATGCTTGTGCTCTTCTGCCATGATAAACTCATCCGTGGGCGTCTCTGGCGCAAACGTGCTGCCAGGCACTTCCTTGGTAGGCGACTCTATTTTGATGGAAGGCACTCGCACAGGCAGTCTGGATTTCTTTGAGCAGTGCTGTGCTGCCTTCTCTTCTTCTGGCACAGGCAGCTTCCCATTGCTTTCACTCAGCGAGTTATTTCTTGTAACCAGCACGCCTTTGCTCTTGGCATATGTGGATTTAGGACCAAAGGAAATGGAGCCCTTCCTTGCAGGGGCTACGCAGCTTGGTTCTTCCTCACTAGAAGACAAAGTTATTGTCCTTTTATAAGGGGTTCTTGTTCTGGTAGAGATGACAGATTTTTCTTCACTGTCTTGGCTTTGGCTGGACTGGACAGAGAGTGAGCGACTCAGCCTGACCTGCCTGCTGCTTGCGTCCCCTGAGTCCTCAGAAACATTTCCCCCTGTCATGGAGTCTGCTGCCTTCTCCCAAAAGTTCTTCAAGTTCTTGAAGTGTTCACGATCTAAGCCAATATCTTCCTCTCTATTACTCATGGAAGATATTGTATAGTTGGTGCCTTGCTTCACAGTCCGGCTGCTTTCTCCCTCTGCACTGAGTGGTTTTGGGCTTACCAGCAGCTCCTTCTTTGTGGGGCTGCCGTCAGCTGGGCCCACGTGATTCATGAACTGCTCTGATCTGGGGAAAGTTCTGCTTGGTTTCCTCTTAACCGGTATCTTGCTGGGACCATACATTTCTTCAGTTGGCGTTTTTGCCACTGCTGTGGTGCCAGTGGCTCCATTAACTGCATCTCCTCCAGATGAACTGCTGGGCTCAGGCACAGCATCCTCTGAACGGTTGGCAGGCAACGGAGATACTTCATAACCTACAACAACAGATGTTCACAACCCATCCCATAGCATCATACAGTATTTCTTCCCAGGAGGATTATGCTACATCTTCTCAAAGGGAAGCAGTTTCTGGAAACTACCAGTATGTTCCCAGTCCTTCCTCCAAGTCCCCTTTCATCTGAAAAAAATCCCAGTGAAACTCAACTCTTTCTTATATGCAAAGGGAAGAAATGCTCATTCTTCACTGTGCACACAAAAAGCACCTTGTCTCTCAGTGTCTGATGCTGAATAATAAAAACTCATATGGCCCACTGAACAAAAATCTTACCTTTCCAAGACAAATGCAAGCTGTCTGTTGCAGCCACAAATGGATTTCCTCCAGTGTCACTCTCTGAGGAAGAGACATCAGCTATACTGGATCTCTGAATGGAAAATAAATCCCATCAATGTGTATAGACTGGCAAGATGGGAAAAATATCTTTTACTTGAGCACAGACACCAAGGCACACAGTCTCTGAAGCCCCTGCCAACAGACATAGGTTGAGTGAAGTTCCAAGGATTAACAAAACAAAATGCAGCAGCCATGGCTATACTACCTTGTGTGATGCATACAGCAGGACAGGACGTCTTGGCTTTGGTTTTGGCAAAATTTTAGGCCCCTCTGCAGTATCAAATGTAAACCCACTGGATCTGTGGAAGATAAGAAACACTTCAGTAAAGAGATCAGTGCAGGACATGCTCGGAGGACATCCCTTGAACGGGTGAACTGGCAGTGTCCAGTGAGAGGTCAGCTCTGGCTGGCCAGAGCTGGTGCCTTCATTTTTTTTTTTCTCATATCTTTTTGGAATGACCTGAGAACATGTTAAATGTTCTGAACTTAGACTAATGAATAGTCTCCCACTGCAGTCAATAAAGAAGTTGCTCGATGCAAACTTCTACGCTTACTCAGCCTTTCCCTTTTTGTGAGAAAATTGCCAAAAAAACATGGGATGTGGCCCAAAGAGCCCAAAGCTACACAGAAGGGAGATGCCACCTTTCAGACTGTGACCCAAGAAGGATCAGCTTGTGGTGGCTCTGTGCTTTTCCGTGCAGGCCGAAGGCTCAGCTACATTGATTGAGAATTTATAAACAGCAGGAAAAATTACAATGACAACAGCAAGCCCAAAACATGGGATATAGATATTCGTGCTTGGAGTACAGGTTGATTTCAAAATACCTGATAAACAAATAGAATATCACAAGCAGTTTATCTGACTACTTCTGTCTTCTTGGGAAGAGTCCAGTGGTGGCTGCTCTCCAGAGGGATAAAAGCAGTCATGTTTTGACTGGTGGGATTTGACATAGGAATGCTTTGTGTTTAAGCTTGACTGAGGAAAATAAAGTAAGCTTTTCAGAGTATAATCAAAACTGAAATGAAAGAGAAAGGTAAGGAAATTGCTGTGCTGGGAAAGCAGGAGCATCCTGGGCAAGTTGAGGTTGCATTCCTGTTGAAGAAGCCCCTCTCATCCTCTCAACCCGCATGAGGTCTGGAAGCACTGTCAAGATCCCCATTTAACAGTTTACAGGCAACAGCTGTTCCAGGTAAGAACAATTCCTCATTTTGCTGACAAAAAAATGCAAATGAGATGGAAGCCACAATAAATGTGTATATTTAAATGGATTCTCCACAGCCCGTAAGTTTGAGTGAGGTTACTGATCTGCTCGCTGAGGTGCTTTTACTGGGTGTTTCTGCACAGTCAGCACAACTTGAAATCCTAGCAAGCCTTCAAGCAGAGTGCTGAAAGCTGGACACAGTGGTCAGTGCTGGCAGGAAATTACCAGTTTCCTAAAGCAGTTCATTTTGTTAGCAATGCCCCATAGCAAAAAATAAACACATAAAAATCATAATTAGTTTGAAAAACTACCCAGAATATCCTGACATTAGTGACAGCTTCCATTTTACTAATCCCTTATCAAATCCCGCAGGAAAAACCTTTCTGGGATAAGCACATTACCACTTAGTTATTGGGGGAGGATTGGTATTCTGACAATTCCTGGAAAAAGGATTTAAAAAATACCTTATAGTACATATTACTAATATGGTCTTGGAAACTCATTTAAGACCAGGGTTGCATTCATTTTTCCTCAGAGGCAAGAGGAGCAGCCAGGGCCCCGTGGAGCAGCCAGGGCATCCCAGGGCCGGGGTTACCTCTCCTCTCCTGCGCCGGCAGTGCGCTCCGGGACGGGAGGACTCGCGACTGCTCTGCTGTCCAGACCGCTCCGGATATGCTCGTCAGGCTCATCTGTTACACAGCAGGGACAATCAAGAAACGACATGTAAGTGAGCTTGCAATAGCCATAGTGTCTTACTCGGTGAAAGCGAGAGCTCCTCAAATGATTCCCCCCACCACAAGCCCCAGGGAACCAACGTGGAGCGGCTGATGGGAGTCTGCCTGCTGCCCCTGTGGAGGGGAGCACCAGGGCAAAGTCCCCTGCAATTCCCATATGGAAAAGTTCCTCCAGGTCCAATGGGCCCAAGAGCCTGAGCAGAGTTGGCTTGTGCCAGACTGATGACAGGAGCTGTCATGCTAAGAAACCTTAGCAGGACACTGCCATGGCTATCAATAAAGTTAATCCGTTCCAGGATTTAAATTCAGCTATTTCCTGTTTTGACTCAAAGTCATCCGATCTTGGCAAACAAAGGAGGAGGCCAATACAGTTAATGAGGAGATCCCTGCTATTTTTCCTGGCACAGGGCTCAGCTACGTCTCCTGAGCACTCTCAGGCCCTAAAGAAAAAACAATAGACGATGGTAACTTTTAGAATTACTTGCCTGGATAAAAAGTTGCATTAGGCATTTAGCTGGCAAATACATTTTCTTGTTACCATAAAAAACAGAAGGATTAAATCCTCAAACAGTGATGAAAAATCTAGCATAGTCTGGTCAACAAAATATACAAAGTTAGTACATATTTGTTCACATGCAGCTATGTCCATTTTAAAAAGTAAATTTACCTGTTACAAAATCTGCCAAATCTTTTTAGCCTAGATTTCATTATACAATGGAATCAGAAGCTTACAACAATATGTAACAATAGATAATATAGCATTGTTATCTGCTTAACAAACTGCACCAAACCCAAGAGCAGAGTGATCCTAGAGCCAGGCTGCCACATCACTGCCATTCTTGTGCTGCCTGGGAGGACGGGCAGCACCAGTCAACCCCGAGAGCTGCCCCATCCTGTCTGGGAGCTTTCCGTGCAGGACCCATGGCCTTGCCTGGAGGTGCAGGACCCCATGGCCTTGCCCGGCCTGCTGTGGGTCAAGGAGGCGCATGGCCGGCCTTGCTCAGAGCTGGCTACCATTTTTCACACAGCATATTTATGTGGAGAAGGGCTGCACTCTGTCCGTATGAACGCTGCTGTGCAAAGAACACAAGAGGACATTGTCTGGGGACAGAAAAGCCGTGTGGCAGCTGACGGCACGTGTGGGAAGGACACGTGAGGCGCAGGCCTGGGCAGGCACGCTGTGGGGTGTTCACTGGTACAGCCAGCTACGTCCTCCTCACCCGCCCCAAGCCTGAGGCATGAGATGCCACCAGGCAACTGCTCTGAAATTAGAGGAACCAAACAGGGCTCCCATGTTTTTGCTCCGCCTGGCAGAGTTAAAAAGAGCTTGATTAACAAAAGAGCACCTTCCTCTCTTCTCTCATGTCTAAAGGCACTGCACAGCATTTGTTTCCTCCTGACAGCTCCCCCTCAGAGCTTCCACTTCAGGACTGAGCAAGAAGCACCAGGAGGTGCTCAGCTCCTCTCCTCTTAATCACCCCCATCCAAACTCCTTCAGCACTAACATAGCTACGCCTGACTTACCCACAAACAAATGGCTTATTAGTAATATGTAACCCATCAAGATAAGTAAAATGCCCTTGCTACCTGTAGGATGAGACAGAATAAGAGACAAATTCCACTGGAAATTAGTAGTGGTTTGACCAGTTTAACTTGTGTATGTGCACCTCTATATAAATACACACACACACACACACATATATATATACAAACATGCATATGTTTGTGTGCATGTGTGTGCACAGCCACAGCTGCTGTAATACTTCAGCTGATTCACCCATTTCCTAGCACTGTCAAAAATAGGCATGAATGTGCACCCCTTTGTTATCTTGAAGAGCTGACAGGACCTAATTGTTTCAAGAGAAGAAAAACAGTTTGTAAGAGGAAGCAAAAAAAAGATGAAGTTATGCCTCATTTAACAAAATAAGGCTGAAAATAAACCAAGTAAAAGAGAAGAAAAAAAAATTTAAAAAAAAAAAGAAAAAAGAAAGGGCTAAGTTACTATAGTAATTTAGTAACATTTGCTTCATCCTTATTAAAACAGTCAAGAACCCAAAGTATACAAGCAAAGACATAATTTGTATATTAATGCAATATTACTAAGGAGATTATTTTAAAAGATAACCTGAGGCCACATGTCATGCAAACATCAGCAGTAAAAGTTAAATCTAGAATCAAAAGAACTTCAAATTTTATTCCACTGAAATGGCCTGCAAGCAAAGGATGTTGATGTTACTGGCAAGGCACAAAAACAAATCCACTTTGTCACTGACTTCATTAGCTGGGTTGCAGAATTAAGGCCATTCACCTGACCTGGTGTCCTTTCAGTGGCAAAGAGGCTGCCATCTCTTCATGCAAATATAAATCTGTCTCCTCATGCAAAGAGGGTGCAGGCATAAATGCACATCCTCAAAGGGCAGTGCAATCTCTGCAGAAATGGCCAGTCTACTCTGTCAAGCTGGAAAAGGCTTTAGATGTTTTCACATTCTGGAAGGATGACGAAATAGAAAATTTAATAATATAATAAATTCCTAAAATAAAAATGTAAGGATAAAAGCAACTTTGTGTGAAATATCATGTGTTGGTTCTGCACCTAAGACTCCACTGAATCTATCTGCAGTCATATGAGCTGTCAGGAATAAACAAAAAGAGAAGAAAACACTTCTTAGGTGTTGAAGACCCTAGTAAGTATTTAGTTTTGAGTAATGTGGAGTTAAGAGGGGTCAACTAAACTTTAGAGAAAGGAGGAAACTAATATTATAGGGAGATAATGGCCAAGGAAGCTGAGCAAATGAAGGAGCAATCTTTATTGCTGCAGCTCCACAGCAGGAAATGTAGCTGGACCCAGGGAACTGGGCTGCAATGAGTGGGATGGAGATGACTTTTGAGCTTTGAACAGATGGAAGATAACCCTGACTTTACTGCAACAAAACAGAGGTCAGTTACATCATTAAGGACCATGGCAGACTGCTTAGAGCTGTCTGTCAAAGCCACACTTGCCCAGAGCAGCAGCAGTCAGTAACTTCCCAGCCATGTCTGAGTATCTGTGATTACTCACCCTGACAAAGACTGAATCTTTGTCTCTTGGACAAGAGGTTGTGTGAGACTAAGAAACAGTCCCCAAATCCTGCTGCTGAGTCAGTTGACCTGCCTTCATGTTCACTATGTGAATCATGCCCAGTTCTGTTTTGCACAAAGCACCAGCTCCAGACTGGCTACATTTGGGCTCAAAGCAGAGTGCTGCTCATTTCACATGGGGCTTCTTTCTTCTTTTCACAGCACTGAGCCATCAAAACTGATTTGTTCTGTTTTGTACCTAGGAGTTACCTCCTTATAGAAAAGCCAGGCACACTCCTTTGTACCAAAGTTCCCCTTAGAGGGGCCATATTCCTGCCGGAGAGAGGCACTGCTGTGCCTTTGCAGAGCTGTCACTGACCCCCGTGTCCCAGATCTTGCCCTCAAAGAGGGTCGGTGAGAGCAGACAGCTGCCCTGCTTTTATCAGAGCAGTCTAGGAATTACGGGTCTTTGACCCAAATGTATCAGTTTGATGCCAGAAATGGTCCCACATCATCTCTTTCCCTAGGATCTCAGGCAGCTTCAACATGAAATGATTCCAGCAACCCCTTACAAACAGCCATCTTGGAAGAAAGAAATGGAGCTGGGGAATGATATCTACTGCATGTAGCTAGCATACAGGCTTTACCTCTAGTGCACTATAATTTTTCCCTTGGACTTCTATTTTAATAATCAGTTGACTCTTTTTTTGGTACTGAAAGCTTAGCTGAGAACCCTCTCATTGCAACATACAGGTGGTCCCCAATTGGCTCCCAATATAGGGAGGCCTGCATATCTAACAACTATTCTTCAGTCCATCAGTTCATTTTATTAAGGTGCACACTAACATACTTACTTTCCAGTTTGCCCTTCTTCTTTCTAATTGATGCCCGAAGCAGATCTGACCCCTCTAAGTCTTCTTGAAATCGTTTCGCCTTCACTTCTGAAAACCATTCACCAGTCACGAACTTTTTCTTCTTTTCATCCTTGATGGAGCCTTGAATCCGCCTAAAAGTCAATAAGAATATTAACCACTAGAAAGGTCTCCAAGGTTTCAACTTTTCCGACATACCTTTATGACTATTATACATACAGCTCAGATGCCTACTACCACAAGGGACCTGGGGAATATCTTTTTGCAATCACAAGGGCCAAAACTGCTTTAAAATAAGAGCTGATTCATGCTTTATTTGGAAAGGAAACAGCACTTTGTAAACACAGGCTTTCACCTTTTCCAAACTCTACAAACTCCTAAGGGAGCCACCTGGCAATGAAATTTGTCCATTTGTTCTGCAGCCCCGAGGGTCTGGAGAGGGGTGAGGCTGTTTACAGATTCTTCTCTGCTCTTGTTTATTTGTCTATTCATTTCTTGCTGAGCTGAAAAAACTCTTAGACCAAATCTTACGTAAATCACTAAAATAATTATGCTTTTTTAGGGGACGGGTCTGTCCCTGCAGCATTCTCTCTAGACATTCCTCGTCTCCCTCCTGCCGTGCAGATTTTGGCACACAAACAGTTAGCTCTCCTTCCTGAACACAGCTTCTCTTACTGTAACTGGCTTGGGCACACCCAGGACTGGTTTTTGGCACCTAAACCTGTCCGTGCTCTTTTAGCTAGCCTGTACTTTTAACTTGCCTCCAGTTATTTTGTTTTGACACATAAGTTTGCAGAATTAGCTCCTTTGCAGCTGGCAGTGCCTTTACCACTGCAGAGACCTGAAAGGCCCAAGGAACCGACCACCTTAGCCCAAATCCCAGCACGAAGAAGGGGTTAAAAATCCAAGTAACAGAGACTCCTTAGAGGCCCTGAGGAGATTTAGGAGCATATTTTAATCCTGCTGACACCCAATCAGTGTAAGGCCATTGACTGAGTTTTCCCCAGCTGGTACCTGTTGACAGCTCCAGTGGGATTTATGCTGCACACCTCTGCATTTGCACCAAAGGTTTACTGGGCTTAACCACATTAATGGCAAGTGGCCCCTGGCACCACCATCGCTTAGGATCTAATTCATGTCATTCACAAACAAAAGTTGTTTGTGCAGTAGCTTCCAAAGAAGAGCGAACAAAACTGAAAACATTTAAACATTGTTTAAACACTGCCCCGCAAACTTCCACCACAGAATTTTTACTGCATTTCAGGAGGAAAAAAAAATAAAGTAAGCAAAATAAAGGGATGGTCATTTAAGTCACTATCTGGGAAGAGAGAAGTGGCTGCATACACATACACCTCAAGCTCAAGTTGCTCCTGCGCCACCACCACCAGTTCTCTCTAGCCCTCACCCCTACATGCAGACTCTCCAGAGTCTGCTGCAAAGGCATCAGTCCCCTCCAAACCCGAGCAGCCCTCACACCAGTGCCTGCTCTTTTCTGGCTCAACGGCAAGCCCAAGACTTGCATCCTTCACTGGGGTGAACAGGCTCCGAGCCACCCGCGCTAACCGAGCTCCTCTCCTCTGTCCCGGTGGAGAGCTCGGTGCCAGCTTCCCAAGCCTGGTGCACGCTGTCAGCCCAGATGCTCTGCTAGCAGACATTTACAAAGCGACAGCAGCAAGAAGCAACCCAGCTCAGCCACACCGAGCACCAGGATGCCTGGTGGCGAAGCTGAGAGCGCTTCCCAGCTCTGCAGCGGCTCCCGCAAAGCCTCCGGCAGATGCCGTAGCCTCTCCCTGCCCCTTGCTGCCTGCACAGCAGCCGATGCCAACGAACCCATAGCAAAGAGGGATCTACACCAGAGGGATCCTCAGAAGAGATGGGACTGGAAAGTCTCATTTTAAAAAACACTCTAAGGGACTTCTATGTTATTTGTTGAGGAAAACAAGGTAGCAGCTACCCTTCTGCTATGAGCTCGGGCACTCAGAAATCAGCCTGTTCCTCCTCAGAGCTGGGAAGAGATGGATGCCCAGAGCTACTCATTAATTCAAGGGAGAGTCTAGCCCCACAGTCCTGCAGAGAGTGGATGGCAGCAACAGTAGGATGACTGAAAAAGCAGAAGATAACTAAAAACACCCTTCATCTGTGAGCCCAAAGCCCTGCACCTCTCCCTGCACGTGCACAGACACACAGACACATGCACACACTCCTTCCCGCTGAAAGAAGCTGTAGAATCTGCTCCAAGCAGCAGGAGCTCAGAGCCTGCTGTGCTGAGTTATCTCTCACCTGATGCGATCCCCATCCTTCTTCTTCAGCTCTGCATCCCTCTGCAGAACCTTCATTAGCTTCTCATACTCCTCCTCGGTCAGGAAGCTCAAGTCCAACATCTTTCCTTCAGAGCTCTTCAGACAGCTTAAGGAATGATGACGGAGCAGTCACTAATCCAGCACAGGCTGCAGCACTGCCATGGGAGCCTCCGGTGCAGACCACCTTGTGTGCTGAGTGAGAGGAGGCTGGAAGAGAGGGGGAAAAAAAAAAAAAAAAAAGGACTTCACCACAGCATGGCTTGGATAGCAGTTGTGTTCACATCTGGGCTTGCACTTCCAGGCACTAAGCAGCTCTTCCCTGGCACATTTCTCCGCACCGCATGGCTTCCCGTGCCAGGAAAATTCTTGCAGAAAAATTAGGCTCCTTTGCTTTTCTTTGGGCACGGCTGCAGCAATTTGGGAGCCAACGTCAATCAAGCAGGCAAGCTAGGGAAGGAGTGAGCTGGCCACCCGCCTCGCCGGGCGCGAAGGACGTCGCGCAAACGGCAACCCCGGCACCTCTGGCAGGCGCTTTCCTCAGCAGTGCAGGCTGCTTCTGTGTCGCTCAAGCATCCCTGCAAAGAAACAGCACTGAGATGCCTTTTATGATAAGCACGACATATGGTAACCGAGTGTGTACACTGGGGGTTTTTATTTGCTTTTCGGCACAAGTTCCAAAACAAGCTGCCTTACTTTTCTCCCCGTTTCCTACAGCTCCTTACATGGTACTAACCTAACTGTAAAATACTTTATTTTAGTCATTTTCCTCCTAACAGGCAAACAGTTGTCTCAGCCCGCTGCAAGAAAATTATGCATATGAATTATGAAATCACTTGCCTTCTTTTTATCTCTCTGCTTCTTTTCCCCACTTCTTCCTGCTCTGAATGAGACCAAGGATAAGCAGCCTGTCTTCTTAAAGCAATCGGAAAACGGGGAGCCAAACGGCAACCTGCAAGCACCATTACTGCATTCTAGGCTCAAAAGCAGCAGAGGCTGTGCTGTATGCTGCCCTGGCACCTGCTATTCAAACAATTTGGGTGCAGATCACGCAGCAATTGAAAAGGCACCAAAACCAGCCAGAGGCTGCGGGGCGTGGAGGAAGAGTCGCTCAGGTGGAGCTCTGCCTCTCTCCTCTTCTTCTGTCCCAGCCATACAACATACCTCCGAGGGAGGAGATTTTCCGTCCCCATCCAGGTGAGCTGTTTCTGGCTCTCCAGATGGGATTTTTCCAGTGTTTCCTGGCCCTGTCTCACATGACTGAGGGTTTCATCATACTTGGCTTTTTTAGCTGAGAGTCACAGCCTTGGGAGCCAGGTCATTAAAAATGAATAAATCAGTTTTCACGGCCAATATGATTTGAAGGCCACCTAGTCCCGTCCCTAGTGTCAAGGACTGTGTCACCCGAGTCACAGTCTGCCTAATCTGCCCCCACCATCCTTCTCTGCAGCCCTCTCGGCCTAGTTCCAGACTCACAGGATCTTCCTCCACTCCTATACAGATGCAACAACTCCAGCTCCTTCAGCTCCTCTTCAGCTGTGCTTTGCATCATTTCGTCATTCTTCTTTGAACTGTCTCCACATGACAGAAGTCTTCCTTGCACTGGCATATCCAAATCTGAGCACAAATATTTCTGCTGAACTTTGCTCATTTTACATCACCTTGCAGATTCACACCATGTTGAGGACAGTACACACCAAACATCTGCTTTTTTCACAATGGTCTAACAGCATGCCAAAGAAAGATTAAGTATCCAATCTTCATGCTTACAAAGAAACACTATAAAACATAAAACAGAAGGGCTAAATACTAAAAAAAACCCAAACATCACTAAAACTACAATTATTGCAAAATAATTTTTGGAGGGAAGGACACTTAACATTTCATGTTTCTTAGAGGCAACCATTGCTGCACTTGCCATACTGCAATTATAGCTTTTATCATCTGAGAAACAGTATATTTATCAGTATATTCTATCAGTATATTCTATCATGATAGGATAGTTCAAACTGAAATGGCAATAAAAAAATCTTGATTAATTTCTCCAGCTTGAATCCACATTTCCTTCAGCTTGCAAATGCAACTCCAGAGTTTCACTTTTGGTTCCAGCCATATACCCTCTCTGCCTCTCCGGCACAATCTTACTTCTGCAATGACACTTTTAGAGAAATTCTGGGGACAGATTTTATTTTTCAAAGGTATCTAAGGACACGTTCCTCTCGATATTTGCTTTTCTAGAACTTTTATTTATTTTTAACAAAACTGTGACATATGGGCTGAAATTACTTGAGAAAACATTTTTAGCACAGGCTCATATTTATTCATCAGAGAAAATGAGAAAAATAATAAAAGCTACTTCTTTTCAAATGGCCTTCTTCCCTCACCGTGACATGTGTTATCTTACTGGAATAGCTACAAATAGAGCTGGCAGTTGAAGCCAGCAGGATAAGCCCTGCCGACCACCCCACCTGCTTCCCAGCCAGAGCAGCGTCACTGCGGGGGCTGAGTGACGGTCCTGGGTCACAGAGGCACCTGCAACCAGCAGCTCACAAAGAGGCAGCGCTGGAGTTGCTCTATAAAGTAAATAGTTTAACTTTAGGATTTTTTTTTCCCTGAAAAAAGAAAAAGCTATTTGTTCCATACTTCCTACCTTAATATATCCTCTATCTTGAGGTTATTTTTCTTTTCTTTACAGTGGAGAGGGATCTAGTTCCAGTTTCAGGGGTTTGCTTTTGGTTTTATTTTTAGGTAACTCCTCTTCAGATATTTTTACTGGGAAAAAATTAAATGTTTAGTGTAGGCGTGAAACACAGTCCCTTCGGTAAGGGCAGCAGCTCCTTGAGCACTCTCTTTTCTGTGGTGCATTTTATTTCTGGGAGATTTAACTCAGACCAGCACAAAACAGAACTAAGCTAACGCTCTTAGCTCAGATCAGTGTCTTGGCTAAGGCAGCTGAGCATCGTCCTGCTGAAAAACCACCTAGGTGAACAGCCGAAATGCCTCTGTAGGTCTGTTCAGCTTGTGTTCTTTGTCACACCGCTAACCTTTCTGTCTCTGTGTGCTTGCAGCTGCCCCCTCACTGTCATGAACTGTCACGACTTTCAGATAAGGGACAGCTGATGTGAAGAGTATCCTGGTATGAAAAAAGAGTATCTTCAAAGGAAGCAGGAGGCTGCGGCCTCCCAGAGCAGTCCTCAGAGAAAGGCCTGTTACTATCACACAGGGAAAGTCAAGGCAAAGGCACAGCAATGCTTCACCCTTCCCAGGCAGCTCTGTGAATGGTTTGGTGTCAACTCATCACCAACAGGAAAACTAGCCGCAAATTACTAACTCAAGCTCATCTATCCACAGATTTTACATGGTTGGTTCTATGCAGAAAGGCTGTTGGTGACACAAGCAGTCGTAAGGATGAATACCTATCACTGAAGGCAGAAGCAAGCAGCTTCATCATGTCCCACATGGCAGGCTGGCCCTGTCCCCGGCTTTTCAGTCCCATGTGAATCCCAGCCTTGACAACATCAGAGCCAAAGATGTTGCTCCATTATCAGGAGTGCGGAGGCCTTGGGAGTTTTCCCTCCATTTCAGTCATTGTCTCAGATTACACTTGCTAATAATATCCAGCACAATGGAGAATCCCAGCTGTTTTGTTAAAGCCTTCATTTCCTCCTCCCTCTGAGCAGCTTTAATTAATGATACGCACAGATTGAAAATGACAATGAGACGCTCTTACACTTGCAGGAATTTATCAGAGCAAGACAGCACCTGCTAGAAGGTGTTTTGGAGCAACAACTCCATGCTAACCCTCCCCTCTTTAGTGTATTTGGGGAGAGTGTAACAGGGACAATGCTCTACTGACCCTGACCCAAGAGCAAATGCATAAGCTCTGCTTACCTGCACTTAGCCTCAGCAATATCACTGCTTCTGTAGAAAGCATGAGATCCACACTATTACAAAAGGGCTTGTTAAGGCTTCAGTTTCCTTACGTAAAGGATGATGCAGAAGGATTTTTATCCCTTATGCACTTCTACCTAAACCAGTGTAACTGTCATCTGAGTAATCACCTGCACTGCACTTTCCCCTTTTCCTTCTAGTAAGGAATTGCAGGGGTGAAATTTGCATTACATATGATATACTTCCTGTTACCCATTTCTATTTTAAATGAATCATCCTACCTAGGGTAAACATAAGACTGAGCTTCTCAGTCTTGATCAGTAATTCACAGAGCCAGCATCACTGAAAAATGAAGTCCCACCAGAGGAAAAACGTGACTCAGACTCTGTGAGATCAATAAAAGCTTTATACTGGTGATAAACTGGTAATCCAACACTTCAATCTAAATATTTGAGACTTCTGTTTATTTCAGAGGTGGTGGCTATTTGCAGATCTTGCAGGATGTAGCTCATTGTAGTTCTGCAGATTGGCAGAACACAAATAAACAAGGTTAAAACCTGGGACACTAAGCAAACCTCTAACATCCCATGGGCCATACGGGTGGCAGTGTCCCAGGCGCAGGGCAGGATGCCACCAGTTTGGACAACTCGCTATGAGTATCACACAGCCTGTGCTCGGCCTCGGCCCACATGAGGGCTTTGGTGAGTCTGGAAGGCAGCACATCCCCACCACGACCACGGTCTCCTCACTGCAGGCTGGGGCACATGCTCTGCAGAGATGCAGCACAGTTCAGACTTGCACCCCAAAATAACCGAGTTTAATAAATAAATAAAACAAAAACCAAATTAACAAAAAACCCACTGTTTCACTTCCTTGAAATTCCCTGTTAATGATTTGCAAGAAGCCTTTGTCTCCACTCCTTAGCTGAACCGGTTTTCAGCTTCTCCCGCTGCACTGCTGCATTTCTGTTCCACTGACATTTCCACTAAAGAAACACCCTCTTGTCCACAGCAAGCAAAGGAGAGCAGTCACGTTCCAGCACCTCCACAGAGCCTAACTGCCCTGTCTGCAGGCCTCTTTTTAAGAGCCAAATGCTGCAAGTGCTACTCCTGACAGCATCTTCTCAGCTGTGGAGACAGCTTGAGACACTTGAGCAAGCTTGAGCAAGTGACAAAGACACTTGAAAAAAAACAAATAATTAAAAGAGAGATGCAAGTGAGGAATTTAAAGCTAGGCCACTGCAGGTGAAGGTTATATATCTAGACAAATCATCTCATCTCTCTGTCCCTGTTGCTCAGTCACTCAAACTCATAAGATTCAACCTTTCAATAGAATCAT